GAACAAACAATGTTCGAGTCATTTCTGGCATTTCCAGGAATTATTTATGTAGTATATTTTAATAATTCGTATAATAATTTAGGAAATAAAGATAGTTTTATATAATACTCTCTCTATTAAGTGCAAAAAGATTATATCAATATGTTAAAAGATTGTGAAAAAGAACAAATCTCTTTTAATTTTCTTTGGAAGTCGTAACTTGAATTTTCAACATTAAAATGTATAGAAAAATATATCCATCAAATATAAAATAAAATCACACATATAATAATGTTTATGCTGAAAATATTCCAGTTTCTAATATAAAATCGACTGTTAATAGAATTATTCTTTTCTCAAACGTGTACCTTTCTCCAATAATTATTCGCTATTCCACTCGTTTCAGTCTCTCCCAATTTCAATGATCCCAGAGGTTACCGAGATTCCCGGAGTCAAGCTGGCTTCGGTCCACGGAAGGCATGTCTCAATATTTGGGAAGATATAATCGGCTTATAGTCTCGAGCCGGTAACTTAGGATCGGACCCTACCTGTTCGCATTCGTATTCCACCAACTTGACACGTGAACGGTCCGGATATCTTTCCAGGAGAATAAGTAAGAGGAAGAGTTAGAGAAGGAGATAAGGGAGAGAAAGGGAGAGAGAGAGAGAGAGGAAGAGATGAAGAAGGAGAGAGAACACGAGAAAGGGGTGAAAGGGGGAGAGAAAGAGAGAGGCGGTAGGAATGAGGGCCCCGAACGTCGTATCGACTCGGTAAGGAACACGAGATTTCAATTACTCGGCTACCATTTCATCAAACCAGGACTTTAGCTCTCCCTCGTGCCCGCAGAATCCTCCGGAGAAGCCGCCATGTCACCTTTAACGAACGACGAACGATGGACGAGACTGCATACCGGACGATTTCGTTCTTCTCTCTCCTCTTTCCTCTTCCTCCCCCTTTTCCTTAGCCCTTCTTCTTTGTCGGTTTCTGAGACCTTATGGAGATTATTCGAGGAACTCATAAATTTATTTTTCTTTTTTTTGAGCCACGTAATTTCCGGATAGAGGACGTTTCAAGCGTGCTAAACTTTTTTGACTTCTTAGAAGATTTATTTCCTTGATGGATTTTACTTTTCGAAATTAAGTTTTTTCTAAATACACATTTTATCGTTGAATATTTATTAAAAATTCCATGCTTTATTAAAAGCTTGATATGTAATCCACAGAAATTATTTAATATTCTAGCAGTGTCAGTTCGAGTTTTACAATCGTAACTGTGAATTGCACGGCTTTAGTTAGTTAAATTATAAATTAAATAAAGCGGAGAATCTCGAACTCTGTCATAATTAACAAGTTATAACAAAAAGCTAACATGTCGACGTACAGTGACAGGTATAACTGTCATGTTAAAATTCATTCTGCGAAATTCGTATATCCGATTATGTTCGTTTTTAATAATAATAATAAGTTGGTTACTGCTATGTATTTTTAATTTTCAGTCGTGGAAAGACCTTAAGCATTTGAGAACATTTCAAATTTTATTCACATTCTAACAAAAAAGTTATATGAAATAAAATACTGTTAAATGTAGTGCTTTTCCATTTAATTTTCGTAATTGTTCGTCAACGTATTAGAATCGTTTCCGTGAAGAGAGATCTTATTCATTACCTGATTTCAACTCGAAACGTTTTTTTATTTTGCAACTTCTGTTGTAGATAACCGATCGTAAATCTCACTTATCTAGCAGGAAAGTTTTGCAGGACATTATTATTATGCTCTAGTCTAAAACTGGGTGGAATTAAAGAAAAACAACGTCGGCCATAGTTTAAATGTGCCATCGATAAGCTTGCGGATTGAGCTTATTACTTTTTAATTAACGGTCAACCCATTTGAGGCTTGTTCTTATAGATGGACGAATCATTTTCCTATTTTCTTTTTTTATCTTTATCCTTTTATTACTAATTGTTAAACGATGAAAGGAAGGACATAATTTCGGAAATCATCATTTGTTAAAAATAGAATATTGTATAAGAGAAAAATTATATATATAATTTAGTAAAATTAAATTAGTAATTTTCATGCAATCGCATCAACAGAAATATTTGAAAAGAAATCTTATATTTTTTATTTTCTTCAATTATGCATATAATGATAAAATTTCATAGTAAACAAAAATACAATACTAGGTGTTTGAAAACAAAATATTTTGTATATTTAAAAATTATATTTAAAAATTAATAGACACTAAATTTTTTAAGTGGAAAAGAAATAATGTACTGTTTTACGGATTGTCTCATTCATAGATTCTCTGCTAAATATCTAATACTTATAGATCATCCATATCCGTTTCCTTTTTTACAAATCGCATCGAGATGTATAATAATAATAAATTTATCGAGTCTGACGGAAATGTATTGCATCTATTAAAGTGCATCCTGCGATATATAAATTGTCGAACCAGATAAAATCAGCTCGCAAAACGTAATAAAATCATAATGAGATTGTGTGAACGGGATACGTGGGCCTCAATTATTTCGACAATTATTTTACTCCGGAGAAAGGGATATTTTTCGCGGAGGAGGGAAAAGCTAGCATTGTGGATTTAAAGCAACAGCATCGGAGGTTTTTTATACCTGGAATTATTTTACGATTTTATAGAAAGAGACCACGTTTCCACGATTTGAATTTTATAAAGGACATACGTATCCCATCACTCTCTTATTCTCTCAGTACTGTTACACCTCGGTATAATCTCTAGAAAGAAAAAAATGTGCACCTATTCCGTGAGTATTTGGTTCGCAAATACGCGTCTCATCGATGATTAATCGCGAATTAACTACGTGGATTCGAGCTCGTACCCTTCGCGAATGAGTTCGAAATTAAAAGTATGCAATGTTTATTATGCCAATATATGCATATTTGTGTATTGTGTATTGAATATATGAATCTGTACTTTGAATATTTATTCACTCATGCATTGATAATTCTTAAATATCATAAGGTTAATCCGTTGTTGACAATCGACATGGTGTTACTGTAGATAATGTTTCATATGCATTTGAAAACTATAGTAATAATATTTAATTATTATTTGCTTTTATATCAAACAAATATTGCGATATATCAAACTGTATTAGTTAAATATTTATATGTATCATTTTTTATAATGAAATTAATGTAACATCCTTTTTTTTTTGTCAAATAATATATGTTAGTTTAATGTTGTACAGAATAAGATGCGACTAACGCAATAGCGTTTTTAAAAGTTTGTTCTCTTAATTAACGATTTGTTTGTTGAGTACTGGTTATGATGGCGTCATTCTTATGAAAAGCGCATCAACCCGGTAATATCCTCAGTATTCTCGCGAAATATAATTGCCGGTGGAGATATTTAAGACGTCGTTTTCTTTTTGAAGCACATACATCCTTTCTCTTTTCTCTGGGCTTTTCTCTCATCCGCCTGGTCTCCACCATAATAATTGCAACGATCAGAACGACGAATGCAGAGTCATTCTCTCTCCACACGCTGTTACATGTTTCAGCAATGAAATAATCAGTTAATTTCACGACAAACCGCTCTCACCCTTTTTACAACGAACTTTAAATATTTCATTATTATACATACGCCAATAAACAAATATGTTATTTACTTGCATTCATCGTTCGCTTTTAATTTAAGTTGGTTAGTACATGTCGTTTGTTGGATATTTATTTATGGAGAAAATAACTTTAATTATGGAGAATTTATTTATGGAGAAAATAACTTTAATTAATATGTAAACTGCTCATTATATGAATAGTCGATATATGTTATGTAACATTTATTATACATATTTATGCATCTTTCTAGTTTAATAATATATAGATATATATATATGTGGAAATGAACACGAATAACTATTTCAATGTATTTAATAGTTACTGATGCGCCATGTTTCCTATTATTGTTTCAATATACGAGTAATATAGCGTAGACTGTATTGATGTCGATTAGTTAAATAATATTTAATTGATTCTCTGTCGCAGATAATCTCTTGTTGTTGTTGATACCTCTGTTGCAGATAATAATACTGATTATAATATACATAAATAAATATAATTTATATGTTTGTCTAGATATATTAAAATCAATATTATATATACATGTATTGAGATAGATTGTAATTGAATATATTTTATTTTGAATATTAAAAAATAGAGTTTTTTTATAATATTTAGAAATTCAAGAGAAGAATGCATTTCTAATATATATCTTGCGATATCGGAACAAATTCGAATATATATCGCTACACGTTTTGCTAGATCTTGTGATCCTTGTGCATTTCGCGAATCGTCAACAAGAGAACAATTCTGCGAGTTCGGAACGAAGAGCCTTCTCGCTCTCCCGCGACGACGACGAATTTTACCGGTCTCTCAAACAAAATTCAACTGTCATTCCAAATAACTATTTACAACTTGCTCGTAAGAAGTCAAAAACGGATTCTTGCATATGTAAGTACGTGCGTCGGCTTCTGTCTGTTTACCTGGCCCAAGCTTGCCGGAGAGAGGGACCCCGCTGGAGTTTGGGCCCGCCTGCATTTCGCCTGCAGGGCGGTCTGCCCTCATTAGACACCGCTCGCTCGCGCACGGACACGTACACGCGTCCCTCAGCGTGCAATCATCCTCCGAGATCTCCGTCATTCCCTCGAATGACTTTTCGCCTTTCGTGCTGCGCGGAGGCCGGTACCCGCCCTCAGTTGGACTCGATGGTTGCACCCTAATCTGTCCCCTTTGCCTTCTTGCCTCGTCGTTCGCCGACGATTGTATTTCGCGAGAAAGATAAAAAGAAAGGGGAAAAGAACAAGAAAGAAACAACTATAAAATTATTATTTAAAAATCTATTTAAAAAATATATATATATACAGTATAATAGTATAGGTACATATTTTTCGGATTTTAAATTTGATTTTAGTTAAATAATATCCAGAAAATTAAATTAAATTGTATTAAAATATTTAATTTAAATTTTATTAAAATATTCACATGTATGTAAATTTGTTTAGTGCGGATTTTACTTCTTTAAAATTAAGAGCTAGTAAACTTGGCGTCCGAAAGACTTAAATGTGTGTTGAATACAAGATCGCGTCTAATTTTTCTTGTCGGAACGATCCACATGACACGACGACTAATTTCTGAGATCGTTACATGGAGTTCCAGAGAGAGTCGACGGGAGTAGACAGGCGCATTCAAAACGACCAGGATCAGACGAGAATCTGGTGTTCCACGTCCCTGCGCGTACGCAATCTCTCCCGCACGTTCCTTTTTAATTCATCCTACCTTCTCTCATCGTGTTCTTTCTTAGGTTGTCTCTTCGGTCGACCGTTCATTCGGATATTGCCAAATATCTCTGGCAGATAAGGCAGCAGAGCCGTCTCCATGGCGCTTTGTCCGATGTGCACAATGGCGCACGATGGGAGAATAATAAGAAACTGGTGAATTCTCGATACAACGGGCGGAGGAAATCGTAGAGGGAAGAGAGAGACAAATAAAGATAGAGAGAGAAGAGTAGATGCTTTAGAGATTGCGAGAGACAAAAGGTAAACTCGGCAGATTCTGCGATACGATCCGCTAAATCTACGTTTATATATTCCTATCTTGCCTCTTCGATCTTTTCGTGCGTTGGCTGGGTCTCTCAAAAGAAAAAGAAAAAAATGTGATCGAATAATACGCCAAAATATTTTAATTAATCCGTGTTTTAATAACTGCTTAATTTTGTCTTCGCTTCAATTTATTTAATTTTATCGGAAAAATACATTCTTGTTTGACGCGATCCTGATCATTTGTATACGTCACGAAGAAGATATATCCTTCAGAACTACCGTGCTTACGCAAAATCGCCGGCATGCCTGTCAGAATGCATCAGATTCACGATTCTAACTCGACGAATCTAACGGCACGTATCGACGCGCCAATCATAATATATGTATGAATGTTCACACATACACACAACCTGTCGGAATCTCTCTTAGTGACAAGAAACGCCTCTCTCCAACGCGCGATCAAACCCTGCGGCTACCTCCGACATCCATAATTGGAATCGTTCTTCGATGACGTCAGTGACTAGGCAGCGACAGTGACGTTGACGGCGTGCATTCTCTGTAATCATAAATAATTTTCCTTTTGTTATACGCAATTTTAATCCTTACATTAATATTCTAGCATACTTTAGAGATTAAAAAATAATGGAAATAATGTCTTATAAATTTTTATTTTTAAGCATTTTAAAAATTAAAATTTTTAATTAAAATAAAATAAAATAAAATTTCTTCTACTAAAATAAAATTTATTTTTTTTTAGATATATCTTCCAGTTTTTTTTTACTTTGATTATATTTTTTAATTTTAAATGGATCTCTTTATATACGTGTAACAACAGGATTTATATTTAGAACATGAATTGCTTCACTAAACTACTGATCTTAGACTTTATATTTCGAGTTGAATGCAATGCCATTTATGTCATGTACTAATTGCTTTATAACGAAAGATGAGATAATTATGCATAATCTTCAAAGGTTAGTCATTCAAGTATGAGACATGCAGTCTAGGAATATGCGATGATGGGTAGTTAAAGTGTCTGATGTACGAGTTGTCATTTTAGATATGAATAGAAACTTTCGTCATTATCTAGTCGTCAATGATGTGATTAAAGACTATTATTAACTTTGTAATTACTTAAGTATGTCGAGCTATTAACAAATATGACGAACATATTTATTGAAGCATTAAATCTCTATAAAAATTGGAGAGAACAGAATAATTTTTATTTTTTATCCGCTAATGCAAAATACATACACACGTGTACTAATTAATCGCATAATCCTTTCAACATAATAAATCATTTTTTATAGCTTCCAAAAGGCTTCAAAGTTACGTTCTTTCGGGCAGTTTAACAAAAATACATATATGTCTTAATAAATTCGTGAATCATTTCCTACGCCACAAAGTTCTTAACTTTGATTAAAACAGTAAAGAATGGTCATGTTACCGAATCAACCGCGTAATGACTCTTTCAAATCTTGCAAAACCACACACGAAAACGGTTTCCCACATTCACGCAAACTCATGCCGCGCAGAGGGAACCGCGCGTTCTCTATAAACCCGGCAGAGAAAATCACAGTAAAAAACATCACAAAGCGACTTTGTAATACATGGGAGTCCATTTCAGTTTGGCGAAATGCATCCCAACACAACACAGTCGATATTCCGCAGTTACGAGCACGTAACCTCTGTCCGTAATAACTCTCTCGATCTCTTTTTTTCCTTTGTCCTTCGTCCTCTCCCTCCCTGCCTTTTCTCGCTCTCGTTCTCTTCAGAGGTTCGAGAGAACCAGCTCTACTGGTTGGTCCACCGATTCTTCGTAGTGGACTCCTCTGTTCGTCTACCGTTTACATGAGCAACACACCGTTCCGGTCCCTTACCGATCTTGTTGTTGCGATAGCATCGCCGAACATACGCGGACACGTTTTGTCTTCTAATGATCCAAATAGAAATTATTCTCGGCCGCCTACGGAGCTCGACCCACAACGATGTCTCCTCTGATCCCCGTTCAAAAATGCATTCCTTGATGCGTGCTTGAGAATGTTTGTCAGAGTGCCAGTTAGTACTAATAATTTTTCAATGTGTGTGGAATGATTAAATTTTACTTAAGTAGATTTCTTCGTCTTTTCAGTTATAAGTTACTCAAATACTTTTAAGTATTTATCGTAAAAAATATATTCTCATTAATACGTTCCTATTGTCAAATTAAAAAAAAAATTTATAAAATAAAATAAATAAAATTTATTAAAATATGGGAGTGTCATATGTGAGTAAAATTTATAGGAAAAATTTGTATAATAAAATAACATTTAATATAAAATAAAATAATAAAAAAGATAGAAACAAATATTTGTAAAATATTTCATGATTTATCGAACAATATAAATAAATACAAAGATTATTTCTATAAAATAAATATTTTTACAACAAATCAGATAATATGAATATAAATAAAAGGAGATATATCAAAGTAGGAATATTGTAAACTTTTTTTCTTATGTGACAATTCTTTTCTGATGATCTTTAATTCACATTATGTACATATGTGTATACATGTGTATGAATATATATCAGTAATGCTATTCGAAGTGACATCACCACGTCAACCATTAATCCATTTGATTGTGCTTCCGTTCTCTTAGCACTTAACCGCAAAGAAATCCCAGTTGTCTTTAGTAGCGGAAAAACAAATATCGAGTGTTTTTCGAAATTTATGAGAATTTCGAACGTCGTCCTCTTCTCATAAATCGGCGCGCTTCTTCTCAGGAGACAAAACAAACCGGCGACACGTGAAAAAGCAAACGAGAGAAAAAGAACGAATGAGAAAGGGACCATCCTGAAACGGCGTAGAGTCGAGAGGCGTCGAGACGCTAAAGTGTTGCAGAGGGGGAGAGGTTTAACGGTTCGCGTTTACGGAACAAGTGGAGAGACGAGTCTGGAGACTCGGCGCGAGGATCGAAAAAATCATCGTAAATTTAAGACAGTCCGTTAGCACGCGTGCCGCCCTGTCTGGCAATCGGAAGCAATTCAACATACGGTCTTATAGAGCGTGCGATGGAAAGGACACCCACGAGCGTGCATACGCACTTTTTTGGACCACACTAGTAGGTGATTTATTTCACTGCGCGACTCTCTCTCTCTCTCTCTTTCTCTCTCTCTTTCGTCGAAAATTGTTAATCAATTTATACAAATCGGATGAAAATCATAATAAATTACATTTACGTACGCATAAAATGGATTATAATGAAATTATTAAGAGACATAGTCATACCGAATCGAAGGTAATTAAAGCTATTATTATTAGCATTATTTCCCATTTCGGAAAATCATAATCGTCTACTCCCGAATATGCACGAAATAATTTATGACAACGCAGGAAAATACGCAGACCATTATAGAGATACGCATAATTACTAAACTAACTCGAGCATTAAGGAGAGCACGCAGGATATTTTTCAAATTTCACGCAACGCTTATTTGCGGCGCACTAAAAGTCCGCGAAACGTCGGCTAAAAAGACAGAACTGTCGAGCAAACTGTCATAAATTCAAAGCAGACTGCACGTATGCACGTACGCACGCACGCACGCGGCTCTCTTGTTGGTCCTCCCCCCTCGCATCGGAAGCAATTTACAAACACGTCCCCGCGCGCCACGTGGCAGGAAAGGGATTCGTATTACAAAAATCTGCCCGATTTTTCTACGTCAATGCTATTTCTTGGCACACACCTGGTTTAGCACCGTCATAAATAATCGTATAATTCATCGAGCCCGGTCGAACGCATCGCTCGCTACTTTGTTGGTATAATATCTTCCGGTCTAATCGTTACTATTATTTTGATGTATGACAGGAGAGCAACGAAGAAACAGAGAGAGAGATAGAGAGAAGAAGCCAGATCCTATTACACGGAACACGAGTCGCGATTGTATTCGTGAAACAATACGAATGTTATCGTAAATTACGAGCACTTGAAACGCAACGGGATAAGAGGTGAGGAGAGACGAGACGAGTGGTACGGAAATAGAAAAAAATCGTGAAGGGTTGTAAAAGCGGTAACTAGAATAGCAATGTGTAGAGCACTATCGCGCTGTGTTGGATCGCAATCGAAAAAATAATAAAAAGAAATCGAAATCATAAAGTGAATCCGCTATAAAAATGAACAATGTATTACAAATTGAATATTTTCCAATGTTTCATATATATTCTATAATGTCGCTGAGAAAGTGCGTGATTAAATTAATTCATACCGACTACTTTTAATACATCAACAATGCATCGAATTTTAAATCTTAATAAAATATTCGATTTTTTTCTCAGTGTTTACACTAGTTTAAATTATACGTTTTTCAGAATTTGATACGATATTATTATTATTCCAACTCATATTGAGACAACATGAGAGATCTTAAATTTTCTCGTGACTATTGTGTGGGGGAGATTCCGCAAATTTCGTTCGCTTTCAAAGCATAACGAAAACGACGAAGCGGTTTAAACGGCGGAAAGCGACATCCGTCAGGGTCGATTCTCAACTGGACAGAGATGAATAGAGGTATAAATGTTTGGCGTGCTTCTGCATCGTGCTTTGTATCCGTGCACACGCACGCCGCACGTGCGTGTAGCATCCATGGTCGACGCAACGTGCAACAGACATACATACTGGCGTATTGATCTACACTTGTGTGTTGTATGACACATTGAATGTATACGGCCCCAATATTTGTATCATCCACGTGGACGGTCGCGTTCCCTTCGCACGGTAGGATCAACGGTAAGCATGATTCATTCTCCTCTCGATCATCGGAAAGCACAATAGAATGAGCTTATTAGCAATTCAGCAAACGAAGAATAATAAACAAATTGAAAATGATAATAAATCTGTCTTATTAAAATGCTAAAGTAACGGATAAAATAACAAAGAATTTATTTTAAATCAAATACCAAACACACTGGAGGGTGATATATATTTTTTGCTTTAATTAATAGAAGGCTGATAATATATTTACTTAATGATGCGGAAATATAATTGATACTTTCTAATATGATTTTAATAATGTAAAATATCAAGATGCACTATTACTGTCATATTAAATTATATAATAAAAAATGTCAATAAAAGGAATAGGAAAGTAAGACATTGTAATGAATACAAATTATGAAAATTAATGAATATATGTAAGTTTCACCGTGAAACAAAGGCAATCGTTCGTTGCGAAATGTTTCAGCGTGGGAATCACAGATCTTACACGATGCCTTCCACTGAGAAACGATTTCCGGACAACGAAAGTGATCTCATGCGCGATGGTAGATTTTAATTCCATTAACCTTGGCCCGGGAAAACGACCCGCGGCACCCGGTTTAATTATCGTGTGGCCCATGATTACGTGATTACCAACAGAAATAATCTTGAACACCGCGTAGCATCGCGATGGCATTTCGAGCAACAGTTTTTTCTTCAACATTGTATGCCGAGATATATCCGATAAATTAAGGATGAAATCGAGAAACGGAAATTCTTACACACACATCGTGCTGGATCATCATAGGAATCGAGCGATTAATCTCAGATAACCTGCGCTTTGCATGCATCTTATTATATTTTTCATTCTCTTCATTCTGAATCCAGGAATTTATGCATGCTTATTTAAATACGTGCACGATTATGCTATCGCATTGACTTGCTAAAACCATGCAAAATGGTTAGATAATGAGATGGAAGTCTATTTTTAATAACACGTTTTACTAATATTATAGTTCATTTAATTACAATTATGTCATTATATGAAAAATAAATAATTGCAAGAAACTATTATTTGCTGCTTATTATATTATACATATAATAAGCAGCAAAATTATTATATTTTATACAGAATTATAATATTGCTATAAATATATTTAATATACATACACATACACATATACGATATTTGCTTATTTAATTACTTTTTATCCAAGAATAAATAATTTTAGGAGTCTGTTTTTAATGCAGCTCGGTTCATAGGAAGTGAGGTTGAGACCGAAGATATCCTGTGTTTTTCCCAGCTTCATCATATTAAAGAAAACGATACGTGATATTTTAGGGCGCGCAAGAGTTCGCTACGCGTGACATGATCACACGGCGTTCGTTCAACCGCTATAAAGAGCGCGTTTTTATTATTATTACCGACGATTAAATAACTTAAGTACCGCGTAATTACGCTAACATACTGGCGATTTTTGTGCAATATTCCGCCTGGCCGGTCGATCAGCATATTTTTTTTTACAGAAATTACACGAGATCGAGTCCGGCCGGCCGTTTGCATCCATGTGTGTAAAATACATGCGAGACAAGAGACTTAATTGTCAGATGTATTCTAATGATGATGACAATTATGCGCTTTGATGCGGCCTGAACTGACGCACGCGTCGGCACGCACTCTGATCGAAGATATCGTTGCGGAAGAGAAAAGAGAGAATCGTTAAAGAAATCATTTTACGTCGGACAATTTTATCTTGCCTTGAGGACCATGTCATTTATTTATTCAATTACTTAGCATTCCTGCCCAAGGGCTAAAATAATCTCAAAGAGTTGTTATTGCGAAATAATTTTCATGGTCATTAATTTATGTTCCTTGCAATACACATGATCTATTATTAAATCAGATTTACTATAATTAGTGAAAATACTTTTACTTTAAATATTCTGATAATTTCAAAGATGCAAAATTATTACTCTAATTGTATTGAATAAATTGTTTTTCAATATTGTATAGTAGCTTATTTATATGCGTAATTTTTGCTGTTAAATAATTATTGTAAGAAAAAAATATCATTGAAGAACATTCAAAAAGTGAATTAAATGTTCTTATGACTATCGCGTTATCAGAAATATTTTTGCATTTATATTAGCGTTTTTGGAATTCTAATCAACATTCTTCTTCTTATCGCGATTTTTAAATAATCATAATTAAGAATATTACAATGTATACTGATATTACTATTCAATAATTATTTAAAAAAATATACAATTTAATAAGAAAAGCGAAAGTATTATATAGTTGTTTACATAAATTTTAAAGAATTTCTGAAAAGTTATTAATTAATCTAAGAAAAAATCTTTTTACAGATTCTTGGGACATCTAGAGCGTTTGAATTGGCATATATATAAGCCGTACTTTGCAAACTGTCATCGAACTCACATACTGCATAAGTAAGTATTTTAAAGTTCAATTTACGAGTAAATCTTCTTTCGCCCACAAAAACTTTTGACTTCATTTAAGTTGTTTCATTTCCACTGCAGCACTCAAGTTGCTTCTTGAAACATTTGCTCCGAATGCCGTTTACTACCGTGTTCTAGATTTCGTCGAATATTCAAGCGAAACTCAGATCTACACACGTTGCTGTAATTTCGTAAATTAATGTTTTCGATACTCGAATTCTCCACATAAACAAGATAACTTACATTAGTTATCAAACCTCAGATAATAATAAAATATAAATTGATGAGATATTATTAAATTGATAGTAAAATTTCTATAAGATTTAGACCATCGTTTTCTTAAATCTTTATTGATTAAAAAATGAAGATCTTTTGTGCAATCAATTTTTATTGTCTCGAAATACAGTATGGTTTTTCGAATTTATGACCAAATGTGAGGATTTTTACGTGACACATAAATTCAGAAATATAAGTCACAACATTTATGGAACATTAAATATATATGGCGAAACATTAAGAATGGATAACATTAAAATTTTAGAAAATAATCTAGATTATACATATACAGATCAAGATATCACACATTTCCACAGATTTCATATTTCCTATCGAATTATTTTACATAATATATAATTTAATGAGAAATATATGTATAAAATTTCTATTATTCATTTTTTTATTATTATTTACTATTATTTATTTAAAAGTTATCAATTTTTATATTTTCTTAATCTCAAGTTTCCAAAAAACTTGAATTTATTTAAAATACTAAAACTATCTCTCAAGATCACAACATCAATCTATCGCTACGAAAAGATAGTTTAAAAATATATCACGATCATATGGGACAGAATATATAAGTATAAAGGAAAATCGAATGCGTATGTTGTAAATAAAAAATTGACTTCTCGAACTTCTCTATAAGTTTCTCGAGCAATGGTTCCGTATTCATTCGAGGTTTCTGTTCAAGCATGGAAAACTCGTTTTCTGTGCGTCGAATGATCAATCGAAAGACATGTTATCTTGATAGTAAGTTGGGAAAAAAGAGTATGCTGACATATAACGTGAGAAATAAGCGGCTGCAAAAAGAAAAGACGACTTCATGATCCCACTGCTGTCGCGTCTATATCTTGCTCTCGATTATACTTCATATAACACCTGTGACACTAATGCCTAGTGTGTTGCATCATTTTATAAATGTTTATGATTAAAATCTGCCGATGATATAAAGAAATATGATTGAATCTTAAAAAAACTAGTATAAATGATGAATAATATAATGTAACAAATTTTCAATTATGAAAATAATCAAGAATGTTTAAGTCGAGGAAAAACTTTTATCATGTACTTTATTTGTGTGTGTGCTAAAAATATATGATATAGAATCTAATTTTAAAAAATCTTGACATTTGTTTGCTAAAAGAGCAATATTATTATTATCTAAAGATAATTGACAAAATTCAAAATATTATCATTTTACAAACATTCTCTTTTTTTTTTATTCGCATTTCGATTTTGTTCGCATGCTTATTACTTTTATCCGCGATTCACGGATCAGAATTGAGATTGCAAGCACAAATTTAATCGTGAACTTAGCAAAGCGATGAAGAATTAAACAGAAATGGTGAAACAGTTTGAATATCGCTCAAATCAATCAACTGTTGTAAATGAAATTCAAATTGATATGAAGAGATTTTGAAAAATTTATCATGCAGGATAATTTCAAATGTCTTTTAGAGAGATACATACGATTACAAATATTATCCCTTTCACATACATATTTAAAAATGTAACATTTATTGCAAAAAACTCGAAATTTTAATTAATCTTTGCAAAATCACACTTTATATTTGTCAAATTACATTTGTCAAATTACATTCTGGAGAATATATATGAAAAATATAAATTATTAAAATTTAAAATAAATTATTATACGATAAATTTATGCTTTATATACATACATTATTTGAGAAATATTTAAATTTCTACATAAATATTTAAATTAATTAATTAAATGCACTTGGTATTTTTTTCAAATACAATGAGCTTATTATAATATAATAATTACAAAGCAGAATTCTGCGATCATCATTTTTATAATATTTCCGCGTTTATCGTAATTTGTATCCGAGATTCGCATATGCGGCATGCATTTGTTTGCTGTCCTATGTCCTGTATTTATTGTAGACGAGCCTTTACACGAATAGCGACTTGCTGCAGATTCATCAAGCGGAATGTTGTGCCGGCAATTTCTGGAAGATAAATTACGTCTGCATACGCTCCGTGGATTCCTATTTGCGATGCCGCCTTGCTACAAGATTTCGCGGTTTGCTTGCATGTATTTGCAACGTCGAAGCTCGCTTCCGATGTGAACAAATACATCCGTCGGTTATATAAATCAGTTGTACTACGTTAATTGGCAACTGTTTAACTTTCGCCTCAGTAAAAATATACCGCAACGTAATCTGATTTGATGAATCCTTGATGTGTTGTTTCTAGTGCAAATTTCTTTACAAAGAAACACTTACAATTCAACGTTAGGTTAATAATGAACTCTGTTTTTCCTAAACATAAGTATATAGTACATGTAACAATTTGCTATTTTATTGCATAGTTATATATATATAGTATATATATATATAGTATATAAATTGATTTCTTATTGTACTTAAGTATCTTTAGTTTGCTTATCAAATTGTATTTTTTTTTCGTTTTCGCGTTCTTTCTTTTTTAAAATAATTTAAACACGATGAGAATTGGATTTTCATCCTTATCCAGATTAGAGCTCGTTGAACGAAACGGATGCATCTGTTTATCCGTTTCTTAAATTACCGGAGCTCGACCGTTTGCGGAATTTATAGTGAATCACCGATAGTCGGGATGGGAATCGATTCGGATGCGAATTTCGTTTTAAACTGCGGCGCGAACGAGATCTCGGATGCTCGTATTTCCGCTTTCAAACGATCTCAACGAGCTATCGAGATGCGATAACTGAAAAAGAAGATTCTTTTCGAATTGATAAATGGAATACAGTAAAAATGAATGTATAAAGAGATCAATGTGTGTGAAAAGCGGATAATAGGTATATCTTATTGCATAAAAGGAGTTTTAGCGACAATAGCCGTTTATTAAGATCTGATTATATAATTTTAAAAAATCTTCAAATTTGAATATATAATATTTTATATGATTTAAAAAAATATATATATGTATATAAAATAATTGATATTGTTAAAGTAAATACATAACAGTATATGTGTACGATATAAAACCTAGTAGAATAAATAAAAATTAATTTTTTTTTATTAAAGACATGGTATATCCCAAAATAATGTCACTCGGCGACATCTAATTTTCCGATTCTACACGTTGTGACATTGTACAAGATTACTATTGGTCCGCTCATAAAACATCGTGAGATTTCCCATGATCCGTTCCTGCCATCGTATAAACTAAACGAGAAGGGCATAGTAAAGATAAAAAGCCTATCCCGCTATATCGATCTATCTTAACACCGATCTTACTCTTCCATTGATAAACATTGATTTTCATCGCGCATAAAGACTCAAAAGTATCAAAATATGAAATGATTAAAATTGAAAAAATTGACTAAACAATTTTAATTATTTAAATAAACGATCTTTATTATTATATTTAAATTAGAAACTTAAGAATAAAATTATCCCTCCGCAATTGTTACCGTTTAAAAAAAATTAGATTTTATTATTCAATACATAATTGATGACAAGATATTGATGTTTTAAAATTATAAAATTATAAGAAATAAGAGAGAAATGATATATTTAAGCACTCATCAAACATATATAATATATTTAAGACGATAGTGCAAGATTACATCATATAACATCGAGTCCATTATTTCGACCTCGCAGGATCTTTCGGACTCTCGACTCTCAATGTAAAGCGCACAGTCATTCAGGACGATAGTTGACAGAGCGGCTTTGATATTATTATCCTTTAACGTTAGCCCGTGTCGGGCATTACGTGAATCGACGATTGCGGCGGTTCCGAACGATTAAGTAATAAACTATTTAATCTCCCATCTCTCTCTCTGCGCAACGTTGGATAAGAATTCCGCGCAAACAATCGGCCGGCATCAGCTGATGGGCAACGGCCTTCCACCTTGGTCCGTGGCGGCCGCATTTGCCAGACCGGGCCCGGCTCGGTCGGTCGGTTTCCCAGCGTCGACGATTGCACGCAACCGGGACCCTGTGCCAGGCCTCGGGTTCGATCGCTTAGTGTAATCCGGTCGGTATAGTGTAAGTGGTTCACCTTGATAGGGCCTCCTTTACCTCGGGGCCCTCTTCCTTTTCTCCCCCCCTCCCCCCCCGCCCTCGCCCTCGAGATCCCACCGTTGCTAGCTTCTACCATCGGATCCCGTTCCCCAACGTCTCGCCTCCCCCTCCTCTCCCCGCCACTTATTCCTTCTCCCCCTATCCCTTGTTCCCTCACTCTTCCTCTCACGCGTCCTTCTCGCATCCGGAGGGTCTCGGCAGGGCCGTGCGTTTTCTCCCCGTGACCCGAGGGCACCACGGGCTGGCCCGCCCATTTGTAGCGCCCATGTCTGCGACCAGCCGCCCGCGGAGCGATACATGATTCGTCTGCATGTGTGCGTACGTGTGGGAATGTATGAGCCGGGTATAGGCCGCAGCGATGAATAAATCCTCGAAGTTTTTGGCTAATTATATATCAATGTGTTTAGCATAGCGGTCAAATTTCAGCTCGATTAACTGTTCAGATAATAGAAAATTATCCGAAAGAAATAGTATCATGTTTAGATTTAAAATGATAAGAATAATGATTTTTAATTATTAGAATTCTTATTTTTTTCAAGAATTATATATTTTATTCGTAAAGTCCAAGAGAGCAAGAATATTTAATTTTTGGAGAATTTATAATAATTTGTGTACTTCTCGTACACGCACGCAAAATACACACATATGCTTTTTTCTAGAACTCTAAAATTGGAA